TTTCGAGAATGATGTCGATATTCATCTTCTGTTTGCTGTATTTTCAATATGTTCTGAATCACGCTTGCACAGATTTTCTCTCAATCTAAATTCATCTATATTTCTGAGAAGAAAAGGTTTCAATGACGATTTTAATAAGCACACTGCAGAATAATTGGATTTATAAATAGAATTGGTGTCGAGTAAACACTTTGCATTATGTAGATTTTCAGTTGGTTCCGAGGAAAGTAGATGAAAAATGTATTACAAGTATTTGTTTTGTGAGCAACTGGATGGTTTCAAAGTTGTAGTGGAAGCAGTTTCATATATGCCGATTGGAACTGTTATTTTGAATGAATGAATAAGAAGAAAATCAGCTTCAGATGTTTTGAAGAACTATAATATTCACTAGTTTTTTCCAATGATATCAATTTAAATATTCCAAAAAAAGAATTTGATTCGAAAGCTCTAGAGTTTCACATAAAATCACTAGTTGTTCCTATCAATTTGCAAATTGTTGACTCAGTAAGTCTTTCATCAATGAACATAATAGTCGCACTGAAGAATATACAAAATAGACAATATTCGGATGTCTCAGAAACAGCTGCGATTTCGATGATTTGTCTTCTTTCAAATATTAGTTTCATTATATTATTCAAAATCAGGAATATTTTGAAGCGAGAACATAACTATTTATATTGTTTAAACAATATGCATAATATTCATGGAAGGAATGCAGTTTTGCTCAGTTTTTTGTAAGCATTCTTCGTGTTTCAATCAGTATAATAACAGTACATTGGATATACACGTAATAACTACCGCACCAACGTTAAAGTTGTTTTTGATGGATACAATAATGCTATAACTTATGCGTGTGAAAGAAATCGTGGATATGTTAGTATTTATTCATTAGGTCGTTTTAAAAGTTTTGACCGGTTTTATGTCATGTGTTTTTGCAGGTCCATATCTCAATAAATATTTATTCTACTGATATTTATTCACTATACTGATCGATAGAGAATTTCGTACTCTATATTAATTTTATTTATTATTTTGCAATAACACTCTGTTAATTTTTTTTGCAAATTACAATTTCTTGCCCCTTTTGAGCTCATTTCTAAAATAGCATTAGGTGATTTTTGGCAAATTTTTCTCTACGAATTCGAATTAAACCAAAGCGATGTCGAAACAGCCCGAAAAATTAACCAAACAGTTGACAATGATGGTGTTCATCAACGCACTGTTCGATGTTGGTTTGCAAAATTNGATATCGAAGAGGTGACAAAAGTTTCACAACCTTCCCTTTTTTCTTGAAAGAAATTGTATCAAATTCTTCATTGCCGAGTGTTAATTTATAGAAATTATAGAAAAAAATTCCAGAATCAACTTTGCGGTAAGTTAGTCATCTAACCTTACCCCAATGTATCACACCATTATCGTATTTTTTTTTTCTATTAACTGATGCAGAATTTCGTAATGCCGATAAATTATAAAAGTTGGTTCTCTCCAACTCAATTATATGAAATGTATGGTTTTTTCTCCGGTGTCACGCATTAATTGCGCCCAATCATGAGGGTGTTCAGTCGGTGCGTTTTTTTTTCTCTGGACTAGAATGAGGAATTTGTTGTTTATCTCTTGTAGGCTACTGGAATTTTAAAGAGATACCCAGCATATAACCGTAATATAGATATTTTTCTGTTGGCCGGGGCATGAATCGGAGTAGGTACATTGTTACAGATGTTTCCGTAGGCTCAAGAATATTGGTGAAATAGTGATACAAACATGATCCAATTTCGTTTGCTCCACGGCCGGCGATGGCTTCGTGCCACACATAACAGTAGGTTTGGTTTGGTTGAAGGTCTATAGTGTCCTTTTATAAAACGAAATTGAATTTTTCAATAATGGAGTTGCCAGGCATTGTTGCAAGCCAAATGTTTAGGTTTTATCTGATGCATCATTCTACGAAATTTTTGTCGTTTCGCTTTTGATCATATGCCAGGTCAGCATCAGATTTATGTAAATGCAGTTTTTCTTGTATAATCGTTTTGTCCTCCGCTTGAGCCAACTTTTCTTCAAGGGTCAGTCTGTCACAAGTCGCGCAGGTATCGACGTTACGTTTTTTAAAGTCGATATTCATTCCATGAAACTCTTGCTATGAAGTTTCAAAAAAAGCAGAACTCGCTTCGAGGATCGATGTCCTTCTGCATTCTTCATGAAACAGTCATATATAGAGCTAACAAGTAAAAACAGTTCAGGTGTATTACAAATAAAACATAATTCAGCAGTAATACAGTAGTAGTAATAAGCTCACATGGTAGAATAACTTTCAATTTGGGCTCATGTATTTTGACTAGAATGTAAAAGTTTCTTAACGTGGTTCTTAACTTGACCAATGGGTTCATGATAAATGTCGAGATTTTCACATAGTTGATTGTGAAGTTTGCTCATTGCAACAACTGGTGACTTGAGTAATATGTTTGTTCTAGAATTTGGTAGATAAAAAGTCAGTTCATTTCTAGAATTGATTCGTGTCATGAAATGTATTTTTCCCCGGTGTCACGCATTAATTGCGCCCAATCATGAGGGTGTTCAGTCGGTGTGCTTTTTTTTCTCTGGCCTGGAATGAGAAATTTGTGATTTATCTCTTGTAGGCTACTGGAATTTTGAAGAGCTATCCAGCATATAACCGTAATATGGATATTTTTCTTTTGGCCGGGGCATGATTCGGAGTAGGTACATTGTTACAGATGTTTCCGTAGGCTCAAGAATGTTGGTGAAATAGTGATACAAACATGATCCAATTTCGTTTGATCCACGGCCGGCGATGGCTTAGTGCCACACATAACAGTAAGTTTGGTTTTGTTGTTGGTGCATGCCAAATGTTTAGGTTTTATCTAATGCATCATTCTACGAAATTTTTGTCGTTTCGCTTTTGATCATATGCCTGGTCAGCATCAGATTTATGTAAATGCAGTTTTTCTTGTATAATCAATTTGTCCTCCGCTTGAGCCAACTCTTCTTCAAGGGTCAGTCTGTCACAAGTCGCGCAGGTAACGACGTTACGTTTTTTAAAGTCGAGATTCATCCCATGAAACTCTTGCATTGAAGTTTCAAAAAAAGCAGAACTCGCTTCGAGGATCGATGTCCTACATTCTTCATGAATCATTGTTAACGTTAGGTGAGGAGGAAATTCCTAACGTCATCTCTTAAAATGTTGCCGCGTTCATCAGATGAAGCGCCTTTATGATCTGGTGAAACAAATCCAGAAATACTATTTTGTATACGTAGAAGGTTGTGCCAAGAGAGTTAAAAAGAAATTTGAAAAAGTTAACCGAAAATATGTAAAGTACAAAACTATGTTGCATAACTCACATTCCACAAATACTTAGGCTACGGAAAATTTGTACATAATGGGATAAACGAAAAATGTTTAATGTCTAAACAGGAATACATCCCAATAACAACACATATTAATATTATTAACAAGCATGTTACAGTTTATATCTGCCTATATACACACAATACACATACATATATACATACATACATACACATATACATGAATACAATACTAACATATCAACTAGAAACACCTGAAGCGAGTAAACAAAAAATAAAATAAAGTGAACATTTAGGAGAGTTAAGCAAAAAATTAGGTGGAACACTTGTGTACAGCAAGCTAGGAGAGTAATTAAAAAAAAACCTTAAGTCAGATATAGAGCTAACAAGTAAAAACATAGTTCAGGTGTATTACAAAAAAAACATAATTCAGCAGTAATATAGTAGTAGTAATAAGCTCACATGGTAGAACAACTTTCAATTTCAATTTTGACTAGAGTGTAAAAGTTTCTTAACGTGGTTCTCAACTTGACCAATAGGTTCATAATAAATGTCAAGATTATCACATAGTTGATTGTAAAGTTTGCTCATTGCAACAACTGGTGACTTGAGTAATATTTTTGTTCTAGAATTTGGTAGATAAAAAGTCAGTTCATTTCTAGATAGAAATTGCTAGAGAGATTATTTCCTATGTCGTTAATGAAGAGTGAAAATAAAAGAGGTGCTAAATTGCTTTTTCCTTTAGGGGCACCACTGCGTGCAATAAATTGGAACGACTTGTGACCTCTATAATCTACGAATAGGATACTTTCAGTTAAGTATGAGCGGAAAAGGTTCAAGAGTTGGGAGTCGAATCCATATTGGTGAAGTTGATCCAACTTGTCAAACGCCTTCGAGAAATCTATGTAGACAGTATTTACTTGTAGGTTATTATTAAGTGCATTACTTACTGATTGTGTGGAGCACATTAAGTTAGTTATTGTTGATCTTTTGCTAAAGAAACCGTGTTGATTGTTTGAAATTAAATTCTTAACATCGGGAAAGATTCTGTTGTACAAGCACATCTCAAAAGCCTTTGCAAAGTTTGATAACACGGTAGATTTGGATATTGTTTATGGCACCAGCTTTGAAAATTGGGCAATTTTTTTACATTTTCCATTTGTTAGAAAAGCACCCTGTACTCAGTGCTATATTGAAAATTGACTGTAATGGTATGGCTAGGAGATGTGTACAATCTTTAACGAACAAGCTAGGTATATTATCATTCCCGCTTGTGAGTTTTGGTTTTAGTTTGTTGAGAGAATTGCAGATTTCAATGAGTGAAAAATGTTTTAAAGAAATGATAGGATTCTTTGAGGTAACATTCGTGTGTTCATATGATTGTAGGGGTGAAGAATATGCACTTTCAAAAAATTGTGCGAATGCATTAACGATTTCGGAGGCATTGTTGGATAAGAATACTTGATTTCCTTTTCATAAGTAGAATTGTACTTTGAAGTTGCAACCCTTGATACACAGTGGAATATTGAGCGCAGTAATATCCATTAGGCACCAAGAAAGAGAAAAAAATAGTTTTCTAGTGATGCCCTTAGCTCAAAATTCACAAATTGTACTTGCCCCACTTTTCACAGGTGGCACAGAATTGAATCTTATTCATTAATGATACCTTTTTATATTTGCAGTGTGTGAAAACATGCCTGACAAAGGGCGCACTGAAACCAGGATACTGTTCGTCCGGCACCTCGATTTCTTCTTTCGCGGGAGCGTGCAAAGAAAAGTGCGAAATTGATACAAATTGCAGCGGAGTGGATAAATGCTGCCGTCACAGCTGTGGATTCACATGCCAATCACCGACTGAACTGGAATCGATAGATGGTGAGTTGAAATTCCTTGTGGATAGATGGAAGTCACACCTTTTATTTTACATGCATGTATGTATTAAGTAACCAAGATGAAGAAATGAAACCTCTTATGTTTTTATTCCACTTGTATTTGTAACGACCGTTACTGAAGTTCCGTCCTATGAGGGCATCTTCAACCGAATACAATAAACTCGTATTTGTTTGAAAATGTCCTTATAGGACGAAACTGCAGTAACGATATTTACAAATACAAGTGGTAAAAAAACATAGGACGTTTTATTCCTCCTTCATGATCTCCTACCACGTAATAACGGCACAATCATCATTTTAATAGCAACCGAGATGTTTTTTTGTATAACAAAACGATGGCAAATCCTTTAGAAAATGTTAAGAGTTTACTATAATTTTTCATATTCATGAAATACTCCATTGTGAGATATTCACTGAACAGTTTTACAATAAATGCAACACGTGTTTCGCAATACACTAGCTTCTTCAGGCGGGTCTATACACCTTTATAAAACATCTTTCCTCGAATTTTTATTCGGTACTTTGATGAGCTGTCGCGAATGATAGGAAGCGTTGTCAAGAACTAGTACACTATTCGCATCCAAATTTGGAACCAACGTGTTTTCAAACCATTCCTCAAAAATATCAGCTTCCATGTTCTTATGATAGTCAATATTGAAGTCCTCAAGTTTTTCCCACGTAATTTCAAAAAATTCGAAACCCATCCTTTAATTCCTCCGCAATGCGCAATGATTGGTCGCGATCCTTTGTTTGCAGGAATGTTAGGCGTACACATTTTCGAACCATCAGTCCACCCTTTCGTAACTGTGTTGTTAGTGTCATACCAAGTTTCGTCCAAATAGAAAATTTGCCGTTGTTCTTGTCTATATTTAGTTATTTGTTCTGAGTATTTGTTACGCAATTCCACCATTCTTCTGCTTTCCATAACTGCTTGACGTTT